ACGTGGGCGAAGAAACCCTAGCCTTGAAGCGCAAATTAGTAGGGCTTATTTGAAGGCTTAAGTAGCTAATTCCCATGTCTAGCTTTGAGAAGTTTCACATGAATCTTCTCTATAAACTCATGTGTATGGATCTGTTGCTGAATATCTCTTTGCACAGGATATTCAAGAGCCACGTCACACTGGTGGCGAAATAAAATTCCTTTAGCATATAATCATGACAAACACACGACCTAATTAACAACTAAGCTGTAAGGAATAAGCTCATAACCGAGTCCTGTTGAGCCTTCGCTACAACCCTTTGTTTTTCATTACTTCTAAAATATTTTAAAGCCTTTTTCTTCGACTTTCATTTCAGAACCCACTGCTGCTCCTTTAAATGTGACGGGACATAACACCAGCTCAACTAGCATCTTAGTAGAGTGGGGTGATGTTCCAGCATTTGATCAAAATGGTATTATTACGAGTTACAACATTACTTACAGCTCGCAAACAGAGAATCTTAATGGTTTTGCTGAAGCTGCTCCCATTGACCGTCAAAAGGAATTAACAGGTCTTAGAAAGTTTGTCAATTACAACATCACAGTACGTGCGTCGACTTCGAAAGGCGATGGACCAGACAGTAGCCCTATTGTTGTTAGAACAGACCAGGATAGTAAGTATTGTTCTTGGACACGGTCTCTCTTTTCCACATTGAAGACATATACAAAAACGAAAAACAGCTTTCGAATTCCTGTTTAGTTCTCAAGAAAAACAAAAGCAGAGGGTATGGAATGTTCTGAGTTCCATTTTCCTCCAAGTAAAGGAAAATTAAAACAAAGAAGGAAACAAACAAAAAATGAAATGAATAAACAAAACTGTTGAATTCGGAGGCCGTCCATAATGGCAATAATCAACTGGATTTTGAAATTGTGATTTCAAGATTGCTTTTCAAAGACAACGGTAGTCACTAAAATACCAGGATTAAAATTATCATAGCTTGCTTACACTTCAAATGGCAGTAAGACACATGGAGAGTACTGTCATTAAACAGGATTTTGTGACAGTGGTTCCTTTTAACCTCTGTCATCGATTGCGCTACTATTTTAAAAGTTCCTACTTAAGAAGCGCGGGTATTATGCAATGGTTTCGGCCTCTGGGTTGCTAATGAATGATTAAGCTGAAATATGGTTACCTTTAAAACCAAAGATCCTTTTGTTAGCTCTTGCAAGGCTTTGAGTTTTCAGATTACCCAAAGCCTTATGTTGACAGGACGATACTTGTCAAATGAACGTCACGCCGCTTATACTGCGTTGTTTTTACCTACTAAACCCCGGGAAGAGGCTATTGGTCTAACACACTCTCAATCAGTGTCGCTTGCAGGCGGGGCCTTAACATTAGCGCCACGGCAAGAGTTAAGTTCACCGAACTGGCGAGAGTTGTGCAAGGGATCTGGCACTTAATGATCAGGTGCAAGAATACTGAAGTCCTCTCGCCAGTTAGTGTTCCCAAGGCATCAAACTTACACGTGGGCGAAGAAACCCTAGTATTGAAGCGAAAATTAGTAGGGCTTACTTGAAGGCTTAAATAGCTAATTCCTGTGTCTCGCTTTGAGAAGTTCCACATGAATCTTCTCTATAAACTTATGTGTATGGATCTGTTGCTGAATATCTCTTTGCACAGGATATTCAAGAGCCACGTCACACTGGTGGCGAAATAAAATTCCTTTAGCATATAATCATGACAAACACACGACCTAATTAACAACTAAGCTGTCACGAATAAGCTCATAGCCGAGTCCTGTCGCGCCTTTGCTACAACTCTTTGTTTTTCATTACTTCTAAAATATTTAAAAGCCTGTTTCTTGCACTTTCTTTTCAGAACCCACTGCTGCTCCTTTAGATGTGACGGGATATAACACCAGCTCAACCAGCATTTTAGTAGAGTGGGGTGATGTTCCAGCATTTGATCAAAATGGTATTATTACGAGTTACAACATTACTTACAGCTCGCAAACAGAGAATCTTAATGGTTTTGCTGAAGCTGCTCCCATTGACCGTCAAAAGGAATTAACAGGTCTTAGAAAGTTTGTCAATTACAACATCACAGTACGTGCGTCGACTTCGAAAGGCGATGGACCAGACAGTAGCCCTATTGTTGTTAGAACAGACCAGGATAGTAAGTATTGTTCTTGGACACGGTCTCTCTTGTCCACATTGAAGACTCATATATGAAAGCCAAAAATAGTTTTCGAATCCATGTTTTGTTCTCATGAAAAACAAAAATAAATGGTATAGAATGATTTTAGTTGTATTTTCCTCCAAGAATGGAAAATTAAAACAAACAAGGAAACAAAGAAAAAGTCAAATGAATAAACAAAGCTGTCCATAATGACGATAATCAATTGGATGTTGAAATTGGGATTTGAAGATTGTTTTTTAAAAAAACGGTGGTCACTAAGATACCATGATTAACATTATAATATAGCTTGCTCACACTTCAAATGGCAGCAAAACAGATAAAGAATACTATCATTAAACAGGAATTTGTGACGGTGGTTTTTTTTTAATCTCCGTCATCCGTTGCACCACTATTTTATAAGTTCCTACTTGAGCAACGCGAGTATCATACGATGGTTTCGGCCTCCGGGTTGCCAATGAATGATTAAGTTGAAATATTTCTACCTTTAAAACCAAAGATCTTTTTGCTAGCTATTGCAAGGCTTTGAGTTTTCATAATTACCCGAAGCCTTATCTTGACAGGACGATACTCAAGCCCTCGTCAAATGAGCGTTGCGCCGCTTATACTGCCTTGCTTTTATTTATTAAACGCCAGGAAGAGGCAATTGGTCTAAAACACTCTTAATCAGTGTCGCTTGCGAGCAGGGCCTTTACATTAGCACCGCGGCAAGAGTTAAGTTTATTGAGCTGGCGAGAGGTGTGCACGGGATCTGGCACTTAATGATGAGGCGCAATAAAATTGAAGTCTTCACGCCAGTTAGCCTAGGGGCTAACTTTGAAGACTTGAATAGCTAATTTCCGTGTCTTGCTTAGAGAAGTTTTACATGAATCTTCTCTATAAACTTATCTCTATGGATCTGTTGCTGAATATTTCTATGCATAGGATATGCATGGACCATGTCACACTGGTGGCGAAAATAAATCTCTTAAGAATATAATCATGACAAATGCACGACCTAATTAACAACTAGGTTGTCAGGAATAAACTCATATTCGAGTGCTGTTGAGCCTTCGCTACAACTCTTTGTTTTTCATTACTTCTAAAATATTTTAAAGCCTGTTTCTTGCACTTTCCTTTCAGAACCCACTGCTGCTCCTTTAAATGTGACGGGACATAACACCAGCTCAACCAGCATCTTAGTAGAGTGGGGTGATGTTCCAGCATTTGATCAAAATGGTATTATTACGAGTTACAACATTACTTACAGCTCGCAAACAGAGAATCTTAATGGTTTTGCTGAAGCTGCTCCCATTGACCGTCAAAAGGAATTAACAGGTCTTAGAAAGTTTGTCAATTACAACATCACAGTACGTGCGTCGACTTCGAAAGGCAATGGACCAGACAGTAGCCCTATTGTTGTTAGAACAGACCAGGATAGTAAGTATTGTTCTTGGACACGGTCTCTCTTGTCCACATTGAAGACTCATATATGAAAGCCAAAAATAGTTTTCGAATCCATGTTTAGTTCTCAAGAAAAACGAGAATAGATGGTATAGAATGATTTTAGTTCCATTTTCCTCCAAGAAAGGAAAATTNTCCGTTGCACCACTATTTTATAAGTTCCTACTTGAGCAACGCGAGTATCATACGATGGTTTCGGCCTCCGGGTTGCCAATGAATGATTAAGTTGAAATATTTCTACCTTTAAAACCAAAGATCTTTTTGCTAGCTATTGCAAGGCTTTGAGTTTTCATAATTACCCGAAGCCTTATCTTGACAGGACGATACTCAAGCCCTCGTCAAATGAGCGTTGCGCCGCTTATACTGCCTTGCTTTTATTTATTAAACGCCAGGAAGAGGCAATTGGTCTAAAACACTCTTAATCAGTGTCGCTTGCGAGCAGGGCCTTTACATTAGCACCGCGGCAAGAGTTAAGTTTATTGAGCTGGCGAGAGGTGTGCACGGGATCTGGCACTTAATGATGAGGCGCAATAAAATTGAAGTCTTCACGCCAGTTAGCCTAGGGGCTAACTTTGAAGACTTGAATAGCTAATTTCCGTGTCTTGCTTAGAGAAGTTTTACATGAATCTTCTCTATAAACTTATCTCTATGGATCTGTTGCTGAATATTTCTATGCATAGGATATGCATGGACCATGTCACACTGGTGGCGAAAATAAATCTCTTAAGAATATAATCATGACAAATGCACGACCTAATTAACAACTAGGTTGTCAGGAATAAACTCATATTCGAGTGCTGTTGAGCCTTCGCTACAACTCTTTGTTTTTCATTACTTCTAAAATATTTTAAAGCCTGTTTCTTGCACTTTCCTTTCAGAACCCACTGCTGCTCCTTTAAATGTGACGGGACATAACACCAGCTCAACCAGCATCTTAGTAGAGTGGGGTGATGTTCCAGCATTTGATCAAAATGGTATTATTACGAGTTACAACATTACTTACAGCTCGCAAACAGAGAATCTTAATGGGTTTGCTGAAGCTGGTCCTATCGACCGTAAAAAGGAATTAAAAGGTCTTAGAAAGTTTGTCAATTACAACATCACAGTATGTGCGTCGACGTCGAAAGGCGATGGACCAGACAGTAGCCCTATTGTTGTTAGAACAGACCAGGATAGTAAGTATTGTTCTTGGACACGGTCTCTCTTGTCCACATTGAAGACCCCTATATAAAAACGAAAAATAGTTTTCGAATCCATGTTTAGTTCTCAAGAAAAAAGAAAATAGATGGTTTAGAATGATTTTAGTTCCATTTTCCTTCAAGAATGGAAAATTAAAACAAACAAGGAAACAAACAAACGATCAAATGAATGAACAAGGCTGTGAAAGTCGGAAGCCGCCATAATCGCGATAATCAATTGGAAGTTGAGATTGCTTTTAAAGGAAAACGGTGGTCACTAAGGTACCAGGGTTAAAATCATGATAGCTTGCCTACTCTTCAAATGGCAGATGAAGAATGCTGCCATTAAACATAATGTTATGATGACGGTTTGTTTTAACCTCTATCATCAGTTACATTATTACTTTTTAAGTTCCCACTTGAGCAACCTGAGTATGATACGATGGTTTCCTTTGGGTTTTCAGTGAACGATTCGCCTAAATTATGATAACGTTTAAAAACAAAGATAATTCATTCAAAAGGGTAGCATTTCCCTAAATATACGAAAAGTTAACAAAACGGGAATGATTTCTTAGCTATGCCTTTTTACTCATCGGTGTTTTTAATTCGAATCGCATAATAAATTTAATCTCGCATTCTGATTGGTTAACGAAGCGAGGTACTTAGCGCGGAATTGCGGGTTGAAAACGAGGTAAAGTGATATTGTTTCGCACTCGGGATAAAAACAAACAATAGTATTGCTGTTTCCTATTTATTTATTTTATTCAGCTACGCGATTCAAGGAAAATCCACTTCCTGACTCGTGAATTCCGCGTTCAAATGCACTTAAAACCGATATCGCATTTATCGCTTTGCGATAGGTCTTTATCGGATGTTATTGACCGCTGTCGTTGTCTCTTTAACTTATCGTGTTCATAGGCGCCCTTGAGTTCGTAGTTTTGTAAGGTTTTCAAACAACATTTTAGTCCCTAGGCAAGGTACCTGGGGGCACACTTTAATTAAGCAAAAGACCGCACTTTCTATCTCTTTACCGGAGTAATAACCCACTCGGAATGTTGGGAGAACATTTGAAAAGTTTGCAAATGACTCGCCTTCAGCCCGTGCTTTAAAAACTTTTTCTTGTTCTCCCAACATCCCTACTGGATTTTACGTCTCTAAATCGATGGAACGTGCGGTCTACTGCTTTTATAGAATAAGCCTCAGTTTTCTATAGATAGATAGATGACTTAATTTGAACTCGGATGAAAATGAGGGTTGTTAGGCCTCTAGCAATAGAGATGCTAATATACCCAGGAAAATATATGATTATAAATTACAGAGTTTAAAAAGAAATATAAGCCTAGATATAAATAATGATATAAAATGACAAATTACTCAGTTTTCTTATCTCATTCCTGAAAGGGCCAAATCCGGCCATTGATGCATACCCAAGCCTTAACAGCAATGTAAGAAGTCGATTTAAGGCCTTAGGTTGTGGTCCCAGCTTTAGGTAAAACAAGTTTGTTTTTGCCCCTAAGGTTTTTCTTATTTTCTCTTACTTGAAATTAAGATTGAATATACTGAGGCATCTTGTTATAGAGGGCTTTAAAAATTATTAAAAGCGTATCTTGTTTCCGTCTACAACTTAATGAGTAACCAATCTTATAACATAGACTATCATATCCGTTGGAAAAGTCATTAAACACGTATCTAAGGGCCCTCTCATGCAATCTCTCTAATCGGTCACTATCTTCTTTGAGACAGCTATTCCAAATGGAACTACAATAACTAAAGTGAGGCATGATAAATGCCCTATATATACGTATCTTTGACGAAAACGAAAGAATGTGTTTGAATCGACTAAGTACATCAATTTGTTTACCTACTTTTTTAATTAACTAAGATATATGACTCTTAAAATTTGACTTATTGTCAATTACAACCCCTAAGAGTTCCACATTAATCGGTGGCTTTGACTTGAAAACCATCAATATCCAGTTCTACTAAATCACTAGGAGTTTACATTTATCCAAGTTTAGGGTCAGACCACAATCACGAAACCATTTGGAGTTTACCAGTGTAAGAAACGATAGACTTTTGATCAATCAGGGTGCTTGCAGCTTCTAAGTCATTTCATAATTCAACAATAGAACATATGGGGAAACTTTTCCTAGAAAAGGCGCCGATGAAAAGCTGGAGAAAAAAAAATTAACACAGATCGCACACAAATATTTTGGAAAGTGAACTCTTCAGGCTTAATTAGAAACTGTGGCACAGCTGTTTAGAGAAAACAAGTAATACTAATTATTACACGACTCGGGAAGTCAGAGGGCCAATAACTAAAATCAACTAATCAAAATGCTCTATTGCCGGTCAATATTCTCTCAGTATTGGACCGGGCACTGTCCCGAATGGTCCCGAATGGTCCCGAATGATACCGCACTTGTGTCCCTTTGAACTTCAGTCGTGTGATAAATCTCTTATTAACCAAGCTTGCTCGGGACCGTACTGGAAGAATATCGGCCCTAGGTCGTTTTTGTACGGACCACGCTGCGCTCGGTCCGTACTGCCAATACCTCGGGCCGATATTCTCCCAGTGCGGCCCTCGCGCTTCGTTAATAAGACATATATAATGATGATAACTACGTAATATATACTCATGTTGATTAAAAAAATCTTTACTCTTACAGTACCCGACCTACCACCGGAAGGGATTACAGCCCATGGTACCTCTCCTGTTTCTATCAAAGTAAGCTGGAAACCAGTCCCTGAAGGCCACGAGAACGGAGTGATACTGGGGTACAGAATTCTGTTTGCTGACGCTGCTGAGTTTCGAGAAGAACGTCATTTGTTCGACGTACCTTTCAATTTCTCTTCACTTGAAGTAAATGGTTTGACGAGGTTCACTAATTATTGCGTGCAAGTATTTGCCTTCACAGAGAAGGGCGATGGAAATATGAGTGACTGTCTATACGCTTTGACTGCAATGGGTGGTAAGTAATGAAGATATTGCTTTAGAAGCAGATTTTCCGCCTGTTTTGCAGCGTCTCATTTTTCGAAGGGCGTTAGAAAAATCATTGTATTGCCTAAAATGGGACTATCTCTGTATTTTTCTCTTTCAAAGTCCGGGAAACCGTGAAACGAGCGATAACCATGCCATATCGCAGTTGTGGTCCTACTCCTGACACCAAAACTGTCTTTTGGAGGGATAGAAACAGACAGAAGATTATTGAGATTTTAAAAAGAGAAAAGGAAGAAATGAAGGAGAGAAAATAAAGAGAAACGCCACGTTTATAACAATAGAACATGTACAAGTTTCAGAACAAAGTTCTTTAAAATAAGGCAATCCACATAAATAAAATTGAGTGCTAATTTCGCTTGATCTACTCTTTTACAAATCAGAGGTTCCGGGAATTTCGTATATTGCTTATTGTAAGGAAAGAAAGTTATATGTACTCTCAGGTAATAAGTACCAGTATTTCATGTCGGAAACAAAGAGATGTCATAAATAAAATTGAGTGTTAATATCGCTTGATCTACTTCTCTTCAAATCAGCTGGAGAGGTTCCGGGAATTTCATATATTGTTTATTGTAAGGAAAGAAAGTTACATGTACTCTCAGGTAATAAGTACCAGTATTTCATGTCCAAAACAGAGGGATGTAAACACCATTAAGTTGATTTGCCACGTTTTCAACTCGCAGTACCATCACTGGCTCCTTCCAACATCTCTGCCTTCAGCTCTGATGGTAGCACTGTCAACTTATCTTGGAATGCAGTACCGGAAAGAGAAGGGGAGGTCGAGATTGTGGGATACGCCATAATTATAAACGGTTCTGAATATAACACCATCAGGTTTGTAGCCTCTTGTTCCTCGCCTCTTCTGCTAAAAAATGTTAGCTTCTCCGACGACACGTGCATCCACATGGCTGCTTTGAGCATAGATGGATTTGGCATTTTGAGTGATTGCACAATCATTAAAGTCCCCACTGGTAAGTGTTTTTATCTCTCGCTATTTTCTCTAGGCTATTTCTGATATTCAGTATTTGGATCAATTGTTTCGCAGCAGTACGCACTGCTGAAGACTTTGGGATTAAGAGACCAACGTAAGTTTGGAAAAACTTCCCCTTGTAACAATGATCATCACAAGGAAACTGTGAATAATCAGTCCGGTGTCAAATGTTTTTATGTAATTGGTTATATCAACCAAGTTGAAATAGTAAATTGGCCACCGTAACGAATAAAAAAGCTGACGTTTCGAGCGTTCGCCCTTCGTCAGGGAAGGGCTAACGCAATTGGTTAGGGCTAACGCTAACGTAACTGGTTATATCAACTTAGTTGATATAACCAATTACCTTGTTACCCCCACCGACGCAGCACCACAGTTTCTTTAGAAACTTTCACCCTTTATTCAAATGTTTTTATGGATGTACATAGTATGCCCCTTTTATAATTCTACTCTTATAAATACTGACCCACTTGCACGATACATACAGCTTTATTCCGGCTGGGAAACCATAATCCTTGAGTCTGGCAATCACTTGTTGGGAGTTACATTTGGAGCTAAGCCCAATTGGGGAATTTCTTCTCGTCACTGAAATTTTTTTTTATTGATGGTGCTTATCCACTTTCAAGTTGATATATATGTTATCGCACTCTATATGTTCGTATCCTTCTAGGTTCAGGGGGAGGTAAGAGGAATATTCCACCCATGACTTACACCACAAAGTCAATGAGTTCATCTTCGATTAGAGTCAATCTACAGAATGTTGCAGAAAAGAAAGCGGCTGGAAAATTGGAGGGTTTTTACATCAGCTATCAGGCTGTAAGCAGAGGAGGTGAACCAGTTCCTGACTTACTTTCAGAACCAAATTATACGATGACGGTCTGCGCCGGTGCTTCTGAAGTGACTCTCACTGGTCTGATGACTTACACCACGTATAAGATTGAAGTGGCTCTCGTGACATCCAAGGGAGTGGAAGAGTTCAGTGAGCCCTTATATGCAGGTATTTATAAACAATATGCTTCTCATTTCCTGAAGGGTCTTTTACCAAGAAAACATTTGGCTCGTAAGAAAGGATGGGGACATGGAAAGGGAATGCAAAAAGCGCTTGCTTTATTCTTTCTTTTTCCCATGATTCCGCTTGCCTAGCACTCATGACTGGTTGCACAGTGTATGATTATCCATTCACAGAACGCCTTACGAGAATGGTGATATCGTATACATTTAAATCACCTCGTTATCAGCTCTTTTTTAATACCTAAAATATTATTCACTGCGATTCCAAAAATCTTCCTCTCTCCACAGAAACTTGTCGATGTAGCGAGAAACTAAGTGTCTCCTTGGTTCCAAACTCCTTAGACTCATTAGGACCGGTCTCGCTCACCCGAGTCATCCATGACCTGGTAATAAGTACGTGTGGTACATGCGTTGCACACAGGCACACCAAATTGGTATCTTCTAACATCACACAGGACAACCAAGTTTCCTTTCCAGTAACAAGGACCCAGACTATTGGTGACACGGCCTATAGCAAGTTTGTTCCAGCGATATCTTTTCCAGGGTTTGTTGTCGTGAAAAGAAGAGACTCTCCCATTCCCACATTTACAAAACTTTTAACCACCTCCATCTTTGACTCTTGGCCTGTTTGTGTATTGGCTTTGCTGACGGCTCTTTTAGCGGGAATAATCATTTGGATTCTGGTACGATTTTTCGTTTTTATTGTTTAATTCATAAAGGTAAGCCGAGGGGGTCACAGGTCCCATCGTGATGAAGCTTTCTCGGTTTCACGAAAGGTCCCGGTATTTTGATGGTCTCTGCTGGGTGGATGCCACGAAAGGTCCAGGTATTTTGATGGTCTCTGCTGGGTGGATGCCAGACCGCCTCGGGCATGCCTCACCTTCTCCACTACTTTGTCCACGAATGGCTTCCGTGACAGATTTACGGTACCCATTTCTTCTCTTAAATGAAGACAGTGTAGTTTTTAAGAGTTACCCACGGCTCAACTCCAGATTGCAACTCGCCTCTTCGAGAGAGCTAGCGCAAAATCTCATTAGCTGATGCTTCTGTGATCGAAATTCTGTACTCATACATGGTATTTTTCGCCTAATGTCATTTAGGACTCGAAAACTAATCCGGAGCATTTCCCACGGACATTTTTTAAGGGAGCTGGTGCGGGCTTTTGGTGGTCTTTTATCACCATGTCAACAGTTGGGTGAGTTTGTGAGCATAACTTTTCCTCTTTCAGATCGTAACGTCGCACACCATGCTTGTTTTACAGAACATTACAATTGATGATTTTAACCGATAGGGAGATTACTCTGCTCTCTGTGATGTTACGTTGCGTATGATCTATGGTAGTAGAGAGGTCATGGCGCACAGTTTTCAAAATGTTTGCAATTTTCACAAAATTTAGCTGGTGAAGGCTTCGAAAAAAGTTGGCAGGGGCTTTTTACGAGGGAAGGGATGCGAGAAAAAGAGACCAAGTTCTTAGCTATAAAAAATCTTGGAAAATAGCTCGATCTATTGAGCGAATGCAGACGAAATTTTGCAATTTTTTTCACATTTAATTTTCTTTCTGTTTATAAAATGAAACAAACTGATTCCATTTCGCCGTGTATCTTTCAGTCGTACATCACATAAGACCTCAAAATATGGTGATAACATTATTTGATCCACTCGCCTGAGACCCAAGAGGCAGTGTTTGGTCTTGCCACTTAATTCTTACTGTTTTTCTTGTTTGTTCTCACCATTCAATATTTAACCTATTTTGAACAGATATGGTGACCGCTGTCCCCAGTCCGTCCCAGCCAAGGTATTCTCGATAGTCTGGTTTCTAATCGGACTCGTAATTTTCACTCTGTTCCATGGAACATTGACCTCTTTACTGACTGTGACAGTAATTAGGATTCAAATGGATGCAAATGGTCTAAGCTCATTTGGTGGCGGCAAGGTAATTGATGCTAATATTCATTTACACTTTCACTCCTAAATTAATCATTTAAGTCTCAACAATTATGGAAATGATCACCAGCTAAAGCTAAGAAGCTCTTGATTGTTAAACAAATTCCCCTTGTCAGCACTTTAGGAAATGTACAGAGAATGGAGTAGAGAACATGCATACTGGTGTGATGTTGTAATGGGTTAAAGAGTTAGGCTTGACAAGTAACGTTTCTAGTTGGTTTTGATCGGAGCATTGCGTGACTTGTCTGAAAGTTGTTACTGAAAGACTAAACTAACGCTTTGTACTGAACAACAAACTGAGTGACGTCAACCGTGAAATGATCAGAAAATGTTTCTACTCCAGGTTGCAGTGGTTTCCAACTCGTCCTCACACCAAGTGGCCGTTAAAAAATTTCCCAACAAATTAGCCATCGGTGAGTAACAGACTTCGCGACCTGAATACTGGACCTTTCAAACCACAAATCACATGGCTCACCTTTGAATCTTGCAGGATCTGTTTTTACGGACGTAAACTCCATGGTTGAAGCATTGAGAAGTGGTAACATAAGTTCAGTATTGCTTGATATGTACGTTCCAGTGAAGAGAAAAGATCTGTTTAACGGCTCCTGGTTCCATGTCTCAGAATTTCTAGAGGGGGAAATAGTGCATGGTATTCTTCTCCAAGGTGAAGGAGTTAACCTTGCAAAAGAGTTGAAAAATCTGATAAAAACGAACAACGTAGAGGCACAATTTTTGAAACAGGACGAAAAGGGAACAGAGGAGTCCAAAGAGGTAATATTCGCACATAGAACAGTTTTTATTTGAGCAAGTCGAAAATCCACAGTACAAACATAATCAAAGTAATGGCAACTGCCAATCTAAGCGATGGATGACGTGGTCGATACCCAATTAGAACTCAAAGTAAAAACAGGCACACTGCATAAAAGGCGGGAAAACGCAAGTGTTCGAATCCAGATTGGTTTTATTTTTTAGTCTGATTGGTTGAAATTAAAGGTGGTGCGAGTTTACAGGACCAATCACAGAGCGACGGATGTTTAGCAAAACTTAAAAACCGCTGACTGGTTAACTCATGCTTTAGAGCGCCGAACTGCCGTGTGGGAGGTTGAGGGTTCGAGCCTCAGACCGGACCAACACTCAGTATCTTAGAATAACTGAGGAGATTGTACCGCCTTTTCTGTGTTATCTGCAAATGGTTAGGTACTCTACTCTTCTGAGATAGGGACGAGAAACCGTAGGCCCGCCTCCTGCGCCTTCTCTGTACCGATTAGCAGGGGACGTTAAAGAACCCACACATATATCGCAAAGAGTAGGGAACGTAGCTCCCGGTGTTGTGGTCTGGCCTTGTCATTGTTTATACAGGCCTCCATTTAAACCAGCTTTGAGCTGAACTGGGCCAGCCTATCTAAATATCATAGATACCAAAGCAGTCATAGATCACTTTCGACACTCGAATGAAAACGACTTCATTCACACAGTTAACTTTTAAATTAAAAGAAAATTTAGGAAGTTTATAACAAACTTAAAAGGAGTGTGGTCTGAAGGAATTTTGTAAAACCAACCCCTTGCGATCACATTGTTTTCACTCCTTTTTTATTTCAATTTCTAGACTGAGTCTACATCAGCAGTTTTCTTTGAACCCAGTAGTCCTTATTTCCTGAACACGATGGTGATCAGTGTTGGACTGTTACTACTTGCTGTCACGTGTGGTCTGTTTTACCAGGCCTGCTGTTATAGGTTATGCTGTAAAAGAGCTAGGAAAGGTATGCTTTTTGTTATGTAGGTCAGTAGTATTATTGGTGTTCGATGGAAAAGTCCACAGAGAAATTAATGAAGGGATAGAGGAATTGGGACAAGAATTGGGCGAGACGGACGGACAGTAGGACAAAGTAACTGACGGACTTCCAAGAGGCAAACTGAATGACTGGTATATAGGCTTGACCAAGAATGATTGACTGACTGACTAGATGACTGGCTGACAGACTGGCTGAATGACTGACTAACTGACTAGCTGTCTGTCTGGCTGACTGTCTAGCTGTCTGCCTGACGGTCTGGCTAACGGTCTGGCTGACGGTCTGGCTGACTGCCTGGCCGTCTGGCTGACTGACTGGCTGAATGACTGGCTGAATGACTGACTTACTGACTGGCTGTCTGTCTGGCTGACTGTCTAGCTGTCTGGCTGACGGTCTGGCTGACTGCCTGGCCGTCTGGCTGACTGACTGGCTGACCGACTGCTTGGTTCGTAACAATATCACTTAATTTCAGGAACCTGCAGATGTAGAATCATGAAGCAGGACATCGCTGAATCATTGGAAGCATTTCATCGTAATTTTTCTCAAACATATCATCGGCTGCGTGAAAGACAAATACAACAACTACAACAGACAAAGGAAAGCAGGCGGGCAATTTCCAAGGAAACGAGCACATCATATGACAGCGACGAGGTTCTTGCAATAATGTATTAATTCGGAGTAATGAATTCTCGCTATTTTAATCATA